CCACATACACCTAAGCGCTGCCTTTAACTTTTTGGTAGTCCCAGCACCTCTTCTTCCAGTTTTCCCAGACCTTGTGCCCCAGAGTGGGGAGGGTGAGCCAGCTGTCACCCAACTCCAACCCAAGCCAGGCTGACTCACCCAGTGACTAGAGCAATAGAGAGGGAGATTTGAGGCCAGCAGGCTGGGTTGTCTCCAGCCGGCCCTGTGAAGAGGAAGAGCAAAAACAGGGAATTAGTTTGAAATTTAAACTGTTGTGAGCGAGGGGGGTAAAGGGCCGGCAAAGCCAGCTGATCTGACATCGAGCCACATACCTAGGGGATTAAGTAAATATGTACTGTAGAAAACCAAACCTGCATGTAATTCCAGGTTGCTTTTGTTTTGTTAAATACTGCCCTGAGATTTACAATTCCTCCGGGGTGGCTCTGACTGGGACTGAACTTTGGAGCCTGAACTATCAGCCAAAGCCGATTGCCGATTAACTCTTCCTTCCCCGGACAGGCGGCCGAGCAGGGCACGGGGCGGGACGTGTTGGGCAGGGGGCTGTCAAGGCCGAGTGAGCTGGGGTCAGCAGTCCCGAGCTCCTGCTTCTCCTTCAGTGGTTTGGACAGCTGCTTGACCTTACAGTTGGAAGGGGAGTTCGGAAGTGTTTTTAACCCTTGGACACCCCGAAAAAGGAGAAGTAAAAGTTGTTCTCGGCAGTTTCGTTTCCTCCTGGTGATGCCCCATTGAAGGGCTCCCGAGGCTCTTTGTGGAGGGGTGGCAGAGGAGGGTGTCCTTGTGGGGTGGGGGGGTGGGGGGTGGGACAACTGCATGTGATTGTCATTCCTTAGCTGTCCGCATCCCACAGAAACTTTCTTCTGACTCTTCCAGCTGGCCCAAGGCCTGGGTCTCTCTCACTGTTCTTGTATCTGGCTGCAGTAGGCATATGAAGAACTCTTTTAGCCAATCTGGAAAAACTGGACTGACTATAAACAAGCCTAAATTGAAAGAAGTATGTGGAATTGGGCGAGGAGGGTAGAAGAGTACAGAGAGCCACCCGCGCAGGTCCATATACTGGGAACCATGCCCCACCTAACTTGGAATGACTATCCTCTCCCAGGGAATAAACCCAGGGCCGATGGGAAATATGTCTGAAATTGGTATTGGGTCACCAGAAGCAGGATCCATGAGGCTTATGAAACCTCCAGTCACTCACGCTAGATTCAGTCATCAGACCAGTCAGGGTGCCCAAGAGCCCTCCTATAATTCATCATTAGCTGACCAATTACTGGAGCTACTTTTTAATGAGCTTTCTGCTCGCTGTCACGGTGGGGAGTTTGGAACCAAGCCTTCTTGCCTGAGTCCATCTGGGGCCCAGTGGGACAACCCCCAGTGGTAGGAGTGTTTGGGGGCCAGTGGACTTGGGGACAAACAGCCAAGTGTTGTGGAGTGGGGACTTGATGGGAGACGGTTGAGAGGGTTGAATGTGAATGGTGGGCTCCAGGTGGTCCTGGAGCAGCTGGAGAGAGCTGGGGAGGGGGGCACCACCCGCAGGCTGCAGTGATGCAAGACAGGTGACCAAGATGAGCCATGATGAACCTCAGTGACTCTACTCCTCCCCAGGGGTGGACGTAGAGGCCCTTCCAGCCTCAGTTTGGGTGGGAGTGGACCTGAGAGGAAAGGTTCCCTAAAGAGAAAGAAGGGAGGAGGACCAGGGTCTCTGCAAACAGCTGGCACGTCCAAAAGAGGTCTGTTGACTTTTGGGGGGACTGACAACCCAGTTTCCCATAATGGCCTTGGGGTCAAATAAGATTTGGCAATATTTGTGGATGCTAGAGCAGCTGGGGTGGCACAGGTGACGCAAATGAGGGTTTTTCTTAAAGGGACACAAAGGCGCTGGGAGATGTCTCCATTTACCCACCATGGGCGAGGTTCACTTGGGCAGGGCCAGCCGTGGTCTGGGTCTCTAAGAGGCAGATTCTTGCTGGGTTATTGCCCACTCCTCTCCTTCTTCATTTTCTGTGTCCTCCTGGAATTCCTTCCATGAAAGCATTCATAGAGCTTGGACCCACCCCTCTCCCACCAAGGCTCCTGGCCAGCTAGTGGCCGGCCCAGCCTCCAGCCTTTGACCTTGCTATGGTTTTAGCAGGTGTCTCCTGGAGGAGAGAAGTGAATTGTTTAGAAGTATTTGCAGTGGCTGTTCCGGCCTCTGGTCCAGTCTGAGGCAAGCGGCTGGACTGGAGCCGTGGGCCATGACTGCAGACACGTGGAGGCAGGGGCAACATACCAGGGCCCAGCTCCTCCGTGGAGGAGGGGTATAGCCGGGACTCAGGGACCCATGTCAGGCAGCTAGGGTGAGAACTGGCTCAGAGTTATACCTGCCTTGCTTTGATTGCGTTCACAGTCTGTGGGTCGACAGACCTGTTCCTAAAGCCGCTTGCCAAGAACTAGCCCTTTATGGAAATGTGTGAATTCTATTCTCCATCACATCCATTCAGCAAATCCCACATCCTTCCCATTCCTGGCCCAGGGGCAGGCCCAGGCCCAGGCCCAATTATATCTGGACAACCATCTCGGAGAGACCTAGTCCAGCAAACCTGCCTGAGGCTGTCGGGTCTTTGATGCAGCTCTGAACCTGGAGAGGGATGGATACCACAAAGATGAAAAAAGACACAGAGACATGGCCAAAAGCTTATAGTCAAAGCACAAATTACTGTGTGTATTAGTTTCCTGTGACCGCCTTAACAAGTTACCATTAACTTGGTGACTTACAACAGTAGAAATTTATTCTCTCACAGTCCTAGAGGCCAGATATGTGAAGTCAAGCTGTTGGCAGGACCCCTCTGAAGACTCTAGGGGAGTATCTTCCTTGCCCCTTTCAGCTCCTGGTTGGTGTTCCCTGGTCTGGTCCACGTGGCTGTCTTCTCTGTCTCCCTCTGTGTCTCTGTATCCTCTCATTTTCCTATAAGGACAACAGTCGTTGGATTTAGGGCACACACTAAATCCAGTATGACCTCATCCTGAGATGTCTAACTAATAGCATCTCCAAAGACTCTCTTTCCAAAGAAGGTCATATTCTGAGGTCCCAGGTAGATGTGAATTTGGGGGTGAGACTACACAGAAGAAGCCCAGAGCTATTTATCTACAATAGGGGTTCACAGAAGGCTTCATGAAGGAGGTGGCATTTGAGAGAGCCTTGAAGAAGGTCAGGAGTTTCAACCAGGAGGGATGGGAGAAGGGCAATCCAGGTGCAAGAAAGCACCTGACCAAAGACTGTGCGCCTGGCTGAAATTGGGGAAGGGAGGCAGAAGACAAAGAGGAAAGACAATGTAGAACGGATTAGGGATCTGGGGAGGTGAGCAGTGTGTATCTCAGACTGAGTCAGGCCCGTACTGACGAGAATAAGAAAAAGGAGAAAGAGAGGAGAAGGGTCCAGATAGGTAATCTTGGGACCCAGAGTCATCAGGCCAAAAGAGCTGCATTAAACAACTGATGTGTGATGAAAGCCACAAAGCCGGGGTGGCAGGGGAGACAGCAATGGCTCACCTCCCCCCTCCTCACCCTGAATGCAGCCTTTGCTGGGAATTTCTAGGAGAAGTACCAGGTTCCCATTCACTGCAGCCTGGGAGGAGGAAGGTAGGCTACCTGTCCTACCTGTGGCATCTAGGAAAAGTCTTCCGGCTTGTAGCACCTGGTCCTTGGGTTTCAAACAATGGGCTTTACAATTGGGACTGTCTCCTGAATAGACAAACACCTCCCTATTACTGCCCCACCCCCTGCCCCTGGGGAACAAAGGCGCCCACATCTGGGGCTACGCCCACTGTGGCCTGGCTCACCTGAGTTCTAGACCTGACTTTGCTGCAACCCTGGAAAAGTCACTCCCTTCTCCAGGCTGCAGCAAAGAAGCACACCCATAAAATGAGAGGGGATGCAATGATCCTTAAGATCCTGGCAGGCTCTAAAACTCTCATATTGTGGCTCAGCCATCCCAGGAAAGCAACTGAGTGCCAAGCTCTCTGAGTTGGGAGGAGGAGACTTCTGCAAAAAACATTGATCCTCATTCACTGCAGCTCTCAGCCTTTGCTGCTACTTATCAGATCCTACTGAATGAAAAAGAAGGAGCTTAGAGTTGGAACATGTGCCCTCCGTCCGGAGGGGGCCCCATGCCCAATTCAGAATTCCCTTAACAGCCACCAGGTAGCCAGTTGCCATGGATTTATTTCAACAGGCAAGGTTCCCAACCAACAT